TTTTTCAATTCCGAAATCGACTCGTTTATTTATGAACATAAGAAAGCGATATCAACAAACGGTGAGCTACACTAGGGGAATTACAAAAGATTACTCAATGCTGTCGACACGAAAATCTCTTTCGCGCCATATTAACGTCACCGACTTGATATCTATGAGAGGAAGTCACTAACTCTGGCTCCTAATGGGCTTTTTCGAATTGAGTTACAGTTAAATCTGATAACGATACTGAACAGGCCATTTTGAAATAGCTTCGAAAGTTTGAATGAAATGTGCGCGTTTGGTTTCCTAGGTAAAGTGGTTACACGTCAGCCTAATGCGCGGCAGGTCGTAGGTTCGATCCATGCCAGAAACATTGAACCCATGACCTCCTGTTTACTAGACAAGCGCTCTAACCACCTGAGCTACGGCGCTTCGCTTGAAGAGCAATGTTTCATTGTCTGACGGAGACGGAGCAACTGGTGCTAAAGAAGGGTTAATTTTTGATATGAAGCTGGCCAAACAGTTGAGGATTTTTTTTATGCGTTTGACAAAGAAACCGAGGAATGCGAGGCTGACATAGCAAGGCAATGAGGTAAAAATGTCTTAATTCTGTCAGAACATACTTGCTAAAAGCTGCCTTCAAAATGTTAGAGGGAACTGGTGCTTGTCGTTGTTGGATGATAGAGAGCTTCATACAGTTCTTAAACCCAAAGCACAGTCCAGGGATCATTACTTTATGGTAAAGGGGGCGACGAAATCGAAGAATGTAGTTTACAACCGTCTACAAACTTCAAGGTATCATACACCTAAACAAAGTAGTGACTTATTAAGTGTACAAAATACGAAACTGTGGAAAATGTTCTAACCCCCTATTACTACTAACAACCTATCCTAGGCTAAACTACAGGAAAGCCGTGGTGGAACTGGGATTAGATGAAACTTTTATGATGAACGACCTCCCTTCTCTTGCTATCGATTTATACCAGGAACTGATTAAAATAGAATTGATACTAGATATATGAAAATTCACATATTTGCACTGCGGTGGAAAGATGAAATTAGGAGATCCTCGCAGCCAAGAACACTACTGAAACGAATAGTTGTAAATAGGACCTGAAAAAAATTTCAGGCCCGTACGGGATTTGAACCCATGACCTCTGCGATACCGGTGCAGCGCTCTACCAATTGAGCTAACAAGCCAACTGGGAGCTGGTTAATGAATTGGGTCTAAATTTTCATATATCTAAAATCTTCATTCACTTTGATGTTTATTTGGACCCAATTCATTGACCAGCTCCCAGTTGGCTTGTTAGCTCAATTGGTAGAGCGCTGCACCGGTATCGCGAGGATCTCCTAATTTCATAGAATTGATACATTTATCTTTTTTCTTAAGACTCTAAACATTTAAGATTTAG